AGAAAGCAAAAGGTTATTAAGAAGACAAGAAAGAGGGAAAAGATCAAAATGGATGTAGAAAAAGACTTTGAAACTTGTTCTTCAGTGTAGAGATGCTAAGCAAATGGAAGAAATGAAGGTAAAAGAGCTAAACAGAAAATTTCAAAGATAGCTCTAGGAGACAAAGTCAAATACCATAACAAAATGTGCAAAGATCTGGAGTTAGAAAAACAAAAAGGAAGAATTCACTCAGCATTTCTTAAGATGGGGGAACTGAAGAAAAAATTCAAACCTCGACTTGTATTATTGAAGGATTCTCTGGGCAGATTATTGAATGATGCAGAAAGCATCAAAAGAAGATGGTAGGAATACACAGAGTCACTATACTTAAAGGAAATGATCAATGTTCAATCATTTCATGAGGTAGCATATATCTAGAGTCGATGATCCTGAAAGAAGTAGTCCAAGATGCATTGAAGGCATTGGCAACAAACAAGGCACCAGGAATTGAAGGAATACAAATTGAAATCTTTCAAAAAGTGAGATACTACTGGAGGCAGTCACCCATCTATGTCAGGAAATTTGGAAGACAACTATGTGGCCACCTGATCGGAAGATATCCATATTTGTGCCCATTACAAAGAGATGTGACCCAACAGAATGCAGAAATCATCACACAATATCATTGATATCCTATGCAAGTAAAGTTGTTCTTAAGGTAATACAGAAATGGCTGCAACCATACATGGACAGAGAACATCCAGAGGTTCAAGCCAGATTCAGAAGAGGATGTGAAATGAAGGATATCATTGCTGTTATCAGATGGATTTTGACTAAAAGCAAAGAACACCTGAAAGATGGTTATCAGTGCTTTATTGACTACACAAAGGCTTTTGATTGTGTGGATCATGACAAGCTGTGGATGACATTGCAAAGTATGAATATACCAGAACACTTAATTGTGCTCATGAGGAACCTGTACATAGATCAAGAGGCAGTTTTTTTTAACAGAACATGGAAACACAGAATGGTTTAAAATTAGGAAAGTTGTATGACAGAGTTGTGTTCTTTCACCATTCATATTCAGCCTTTATGATGAGCAAATAATCTGAGAATCTGGATTAAATGAATAAAAATGTGGTGTCAGGATTGGAGGAAGACTCATTAACAACCTGTCATATGCAGATGACACAACCATTCTTGCTGAAAGTGAAGAGGACTTGAAATATTTACTGATGAAGATCAAAGACCACAGCCCTTGGTATGAATTGCATCTCAATGTAAAGAAAACAAAAATCCTCACCACTGGATCAATAAACAGCATTCTTATCAAAGGAGAAAAGATGGAAGTTTTCAAAGACATCATTTTTCTTGGATCCACCATCAACACTCATGGAAGCAACAGTCAAGAAATCAGATGATGTATTGCATTAGGCAAATCTACTGCACAAAGCTTTTTAAAGTGTTGAAGAGCAAAGATATCAGTTTGAGGACTTAAGTGCGCCTGACTCAAGCCATGGTATTTATATTACCTCATAAATATGATAAAGTTCTACAATGAATAGAAGGAAGACCAGAGAAGAATTCATACATTTGAGTTATGGTGTTGGAGGAGAATATTGAAAAGTACCATGGACTGCCAAAAGAACAAACAGATATGTGTCTGAAGAAGTACAGCCAGAGTGCTCTTTGGAGGCCAGGATGGTCAGAGTTCATCTTCATACACTGGACATATTGTTAGGAGTGGGCAGAAGCTGGAGAAGGATATCATGTTTGGTAAGGTGGAGGGTCCAAGAAAAAGGGGGAAACTCCCAGCAAGATGGATTGACACAGTGGCAGCATGGGCTCAAGCGAAGCTACGATTGTGTGGTTTGGGCCCAGGACAGGGAAGTGCTTCGTTCTGTTGTGCATAAGGTTGCTATGAGTTGGTATCGACTCGATGGCAACTAATAACAACATTAGGAATTCCCATCAGCCTCTCAAATAAAATGTATTCACAGTTAGCTCTTATTCCCTTTAATTAAAGTCACAAATGGTATAGCCAGAATGCTATCAGTTCAGGGATCTATAAATGTTAAATAAAGTCTATATATATCAATATAAAATAAAGTTAAGTGATGCTGTAATGTTATAAACATAAGCAGACATAGGCAACTGTCAGGCATGTTATGATTCTCAAATTATAAATTAGTTAATATCTGTATTAAGGTGACAATTTGACTATTCTAATATTGAATAAGTGAACAGAGGGAGAAAATAAGCAAAGTGATATACAATTGTCTTTGGATCGCAAATACAATGTATAGAGAAAACAGGCTATTAAGACTACAGCTGTAGTAGAATAGTGGGTTACAAGTTGGGCTGCTAACCTGAAGGTCAGCTGTTCGTATCTACCAGCTGCTCCATGGGAGAAAGATATGGTTTTCTGCTTCTGTAAAGATTTATAGCCTCAGCTACCATGGTCACGATGAGTCAGAACTGACTTAACAGCACATAACTACAACCACCAAATGGAGATAAGTGTTGTTTATCTCACAGAAATGGCAACATTCAGGTTTGGAATAAATAATTATGGAGTCTATTTTTAATGATGTGTGTTGATTATATTGTGGTGTCCATTATATTCTTCCCAAAGCAATATTATTTATTCTATTCATGAAAGATCAAGTATAGACATCAAACTGAATCACTTTCTAAGCTAAATTGCTGTTCTTTGACATTTTCTCATCCTCTATCCCTTCCTTAATTCTCTTCTTATTTCCCTCTCTACCACCATTTCCTTATATAGATCTCTTTTATACAAATTTCTGAAAACAGTTTATAAAATTAAATCTTTGCTCTCATTCATACCCAATCAACCAAAATCATTAGTTTTATATCCAAACATTGCTGGACTGTTACTCCTGAATATCCTGCTCACATTTAGGAGACCAGTATTACAATCCCTATCTCAAAAAACAACTCTACCATCTGCAAAGTTTTTCTTCTGCATATCTTGGAGTCAGCTGATTCACTGTCAATGAACCAAATTCTGAAAAATCCCTCTATGTAGAATTTTCATGTGTCACACTCTTGTCCAGCTTGACCGCTACTTAACTAGTTTTCAAGTACTATTGCCCTGGTTAATGCAACAGCTTCTTAAGTGATCTATCCAATCCTGGACTTAATCCTTTACATTGTTTTAAAAAGCAATCTATTAGAAATATTAATTTGTCAATGGATATCGCCCTCATTCAAAGATTTCAGTCATTTTTATTATGAAAGAGGTTACAATACAAACTCCCAATTACAAGTTGAAAAGCTATGTAAAACAAGGACCGTATTCATTCCTTCAGTCACAATTCACCGCTTTATACCTAATATTCCAGTGGTATCAACTTGTTATAAGTCCACTGAATCTGCCAGTGGATATCATTGCTGGTGTCAGATGGATCTTAGCTAAAAACAAACATACCATAAAGATATTTATCTGTGTTTTATTGACTATGCAAAGGCTTCCAACTTTGTGGATTATAACAAGCTATGGGCAACATTGCAGAGAATGAGTATTCCAGAACTCTTACTTGTGATCATAAAAAAACTGTATATAGATGAAGAGGCATTCATTAAAATAAAACAAGATGACACTGAATGGTTTAAAAATCAGATAATGTGGGCATCAGGATTGTATTCTTTCACCATACTTATTCAATCTGTGTGCTTAGCAAATAATTTAAGAAGCTGGATAATATGAAGAAGAACAAGGCACAGGATTGAAAGAAGACTCCTAACAACTTGTATATATTCAGATGACACTACAACCTTGTTTGCTGAAATTGAATAGGACTTAAAATACTTGCTGATGGAGAGCAAGGACCTCAGCCTTCAGTATGGGTAGCCTCTCAATGTAAAGAAAATGAAAATCCTCACAGCTGGACCAATACAATCATCCTGATAAGTGGAGAAAAGATTGACGTTGTCAATTATTTCATTATGCTAGGATTCACTATCAACTCTTATAGCAATCAAACAACGTATTGCATTAGGCAAATCTGCTGCATAAGACTTTGTTAAAGTGTTCAAAAACAAAGATGTCAGTTTGAAGTCAAAAGTTAGCCTGACACACACTAGGGTATTTTCAATAGCTTCCTATACAAGAGAATAAGCAAGACCAGAGAAAAATTGATGTATTTGAGTTATGGTATTGGAGAAGTATGTTCAAAGTATCATGGACTACCAGAAGAGCAAACAAATCTGTGTTGGAAGAATTATATTTAGAATGCTTCTGAGAAGTCAGGATGGTGAAACTCAGTCTCTCTTACTTTAGACATATTATCAGAATGGACCAGTCCCTATAGAAGGATATCATGATAGGAAAAATGGATGTTCAGCGAAAATTAGGAAAACTCCCTGTGAGATGGATTGGAACAGTGACAGCAGCAATGGTCTCAGTTTAACCATGATTATGAGGATGGTTCAAGACCAGGCAGTGTATCCTTCTGTTGTTGTACGTAAGGTTGCTATGAGTTGGAGCTGACTTGATGGCACCCAAAAACAGTAAGAACAATCTGCCAGTACTTCATTTTCTTTCCCTGACTAATTTTCCCTCAGATCTTTTAGTTATTTTTTCTAGAAGTCTTGAGGAATGAACTCTTGATGGATCAGGTGATACTCTTTTTAAGCCTTAGTATTTGCTCTTATTGTTATTCAGTACCATGGAGTCAGTTCCAAGTCATAGCAACCCTGTATAGTGTTTCTGAGTGGTAACTGAGGCGTTTGAACCACGAACTTTGTGGTTAGCAGTTCAGTGCCTATCCTACAGCACTGTATAATTTCCTCCACCAAACAAAGAACATTAAAATGATAGACAACAGATTACTAGTAACGAGACTATTTTCACTCTAGTTCTTATTATTTGCATACAGTGATTGTAGGCATTGACTTAAATTCATTCAGAATTAATTATCAGAAATTGATTACACTTACACTATTATTTAAAGTATTTATTCGTCAGACAACTATTTTTAATTTTCATTACTCACCATGTTTATTGGGTCAACTGGTCCAATGCTGTTTACATACACATCAGTTTCAATTACTGTGGGCCTTACTGCAAGATACCACCATAAAGAATAGTCAGAGATATAATCAGAAGTAGCTTTAAAATAATCTCAGTTTTTAGTAAATCTCAATAATTAATAATACATTGTCATTTTAATAAAAAGTATTCCTCATTGTGACATTAAAAAACCTGGCCCATGACAAAACACACATTTTCACCTTATACAATCAATTATATAGCTAAAAAGTGTAATGCTATTGAATAATAACAATTGGACTATCTGAATATATTGTTATTGTTGTTATTAAGTGCTATCGAGTCAGTTCTGATGCATAATGACCCTGTGTAGAGTGTCCGAGGAGCAGGTGGTGATCTTGAATTGCCGACCCTGCAATTCAAATGGCTTTGCAGTTTGGTGCATTAACCCACAGTGCCACAATAGGACTCCATCTGAATATATTAAAAATATCTAAGTAATCTACTGAAATTAAGGCAGTCAGTTCAATAAACATTTCTAGATAAATTGCTTATGGATGCAGTAGCTCAAAAGAGGGAACAAATCTTTACAGCAAGGATCATTCCCACCCCCTCTATACACAGAGTAGACAGGGATGGGCAACTTAGACATTGGCTACCCAAAGTGGAGGGGGGAGCTACAAAGGCAAGAAATGACTTGCTTACAAGCTTTCAAAAAGGAATTTAGATCCAGAGGGCCTGGAGGAAGGTAGAATCTCCAGTGAGTAGTATCCAATCTGTCTAGGCAGGGCTGATAAAATGAAATGCATATAGGTCTCTTGTGATACAGTAGTGAATAATTGTTATCAGGACTGCTTGTGAGGGATGGAAATGTAAAAGTAGACATTTTGTAGCAAGGAGGGGAGTGATTAACTTTGCAGTCTAGGAGCAGAGGTCCCTGAGACCATCAAGGGAGAAGAACAGTGAGCGGGACCCTACCCAGAGAAGCAGTGACACCAGAGATGGAGGCAGAGAGGATGACATGGAGAGATGAAGCAGCTGGGGTCTTTAGACACAGAGAGGGAGAGGGGCTATGTGCTTACAAATGAGGGGAAGACTTGTAGGGTATACCCTTTGGTTGGTTGACGATGCATGGAGGAGACTGTAATCATGGCAATGAAATTATATACGATAGGATGAATGTAAAACTAATGTTCTCCCATGTAAACTATCACATAATTTACAATAAAACCTTTAAAACAATTGCTTTGAAATCATAACAGAATTTAAAGATTAGAATGGATTTCAATGCCTAAATAGTTTGTGCTGCTACATAAAGTATGTGTATGAGTGGCACGTCTTGCATGTTAAAGAGACAAGAGAAAAAATCCCAGATTGGTAGTTCTTATTGATTTCCATGTTCAGATTTCCACAAATGGCTGATTTTATTCTATCAATGTGGCATCAAGAAATTTAGACTTGCAACACTATACTGAGAGCTCTTGAATATCAATAGAAGCAAGTCCCAGCACATAATGGGACTTGATGCATAGTAATGAGTATGAAAAAGAAAAGGAAATAGCATCACCAGGTATGAGGGAGCTCTGGTAACATAGCGGTTATGAGTCGGGCTGCTAACCTGAAGGTTGGCAGTTTTAAACTACCAGTGGTTCCATGGGAGAAAGATGAGACTTTCTGTTCCCATAAAGATTTACAGCCTCAGAAATCCTATGTAGGGTCGCTATGAGTCAAAACTGACCCCATGGCACACCACAGCCAGGTATTAGTGATATGAAAAGCATAGTAAATTATTGTTCATACTGGCTTTCACCCTTGTAAACAATATTTCTGAAAGGCAGGCATCCATGTTAATTACAGTCGGCTTTAGTATAAACTGTCTTTTTACCTAATTATCACAACACTTTTTTAATGAATGTTCCTATACTTCATCTACTGTGTTTTATATTTAACTAATCTTGCTTTTTCAGTTAATTTTTAAATATCAAAGCATTTTTGTTTTCTGCCAGAATTTGAGCACAGATTAAAATTTTAAATATTTATTGAACATTAGTAATAATAAACATACACAATTCTACCCTACTTGGTTGTCATGTGAACATTCAACATTTATCAGATATTTTTGTTCTTTTTGTTAAGTGCTGCCAAGTCAGACTGCTGATTTCTTATTATTAAACTGAACATAATAAAAATTTATAATTCATTTTGCTTGCCATGAAAAACACTTTCATGTTGTTTCTTACACTAATCCCACTAACACCATCAAATAAGATGTACGTGGAAAACCAAATCAATTATCATAGAGTCTTTCAACTCATTAAAAGTGTCCTCATTTCAATTCTGACTCATAACAACTCTATATAATGTTTCAAAAGACCATTTGGTGGGTTTGAACTGTTGACATTTTGATTCACAACACAGTGCTGATCCTACAGTGCCACACCCAGAGTTCCAACTAACAGCAACACTCTACTGGGTTTCCAAGATTATAAATCTTTATGAGAGCAGAAAGCCTTATCTTTCTCCCATGAAGCATCAGGTGTGTTTGAACCACTGACCTTGAGGTTATCAGCCAAACACCTAACCCACAGTATCAGCAGGGTATAAAATATGATTTTATTAATTTGGCAACTATTTGTTGGCAATAAGTACTAGACTGCTAACCACAAGGTAAGTGGTTCAAACACCAGCTGATCGTCAGAAACCCTATTCAGGGTTGCCATGGATCATAACTACCTCGACAGAACTTAACAACATGTGTATAGAAAAGGGTACACAAAGTAGATAAGAAGGAGAAAATAATCAAGGAAGACAACCTACATGAGTATCTGCAGTGTCTGCATAATTTTAAACATATTTATTGTCACTCACCTCAGACAATTTAAGTACATGATTATTTAAGAAACCATGTAATAACATTTACAAATTTTACTGTTCTTCAAATCAAGATTTTATGGCAAGCTATTCCAGTTTTGGGGCAGGAGAAGCAGAGACAGGCAGTGGAGACTTGGTGCAAAAAAAAAAAAACCAACAGAGAAAGTGGTTTGCCGGAACAGTTCCAACGTTTTGGAGCTAATATAAAGGGGGAAGCATCAGTTTTCAGCACCCACTAGTGGAGAATTCTGACTGCGGCAGATATACACAGCGATTTTGGAACCAACCGGGACACTCTCTGCGGCCCACAGCCTGGATGGAGATCAGAGGACAGGGCCACAGTCAGGCTAATACAGCGCTAAAGTCAAGGAGCGACTCATAGTAAAAGAGGTGTGATGGCTTTTTAAAAAATTTTCTTTCCACCTATTTCCTGTCGCACCCTCTCTGACCAGCCCGGACAACTTCAGGCAGATGGGAGCATACTCCCAAAGGTGTCCAGTGTTGTGCCCACAGGGTACAATTTTCCCATGGCACAAAAAGTAAATACCACAAGCTAATCCTTTGGCTGCTTCTTATGATGTCTGACTCTGGGACTTATCCCTTAAATTGACTCTCTTACTTGGGCAGGATCCTTTATTCCTGTCCTACCTAGCAAGGCCATTTGAACTGCAAGGTCAGCAGTTCAAGCTTACCAGCGGCTCCTTGGAAACCCTATACAGGGTCGCTATGGGTCAGAATCAGCTAGACGGCACTTAACAACAACAACCTAACAAGAGACAGCAGGTCTGGCCATACAGCCAAACCACATCTGCATGTAGTAAAAGACCAGCATAAAAGGCAAGATCCAACACCAACTACTATACACAGGGACGGAGGCATTTTAACAATTATGCTGAAGCTGAGATAAAAATTGTGAAAAATCTTTCTTCCATTCATTTCTCAATATCTATCTGTGCACCTCCACTGCAGAGACTAGAGAGGGTGCCTGAGCAAGTGGGCACCCCCATCCACCACTGGAGGCTTCCATTGTGCACACACAGTGACCTGCACAGCAAACGCTACTAAGCAGTCTGCTATGGCTTTGTTTTTGTTTTTGTGTGCTGATTCTTAGTCTCTGCTTTTGGTCTCACTTTTTTCCTGGGGGGTGGGAGCTTTCTCTCCCTACGTTACCCTAGAAGAGACCACAATTGTGGCCATATAGCCAAGCTGCAAGCATACCTGATTATATCCCACCATCCATAAAGGAGCCAATACTAGTGGCTAGTCATTACACAGAGAGCGAAGACCTTCAAAGATAGCTCGCAGCTGAGTAATTTGTTGTTGTTAAGTGCCGTCGAGTTAAGAGGTGAAAGGGGGAGCCTATCTCCAAATCACATCCACCAGGAGACACGCTGTAAGCTTAACAATACAACAACATACATTCACTCAATCATTGAAAACACATCTAACTATTGAAACTTTACCAAAGAAAAACAACAAAAGATCTCAGCACATGTCCAGAAACAGAAAGAAGAAACTGAGACAAATGATCTGGAGGCAGACATGGACTTCCCATTAGAATAAGATCAGGCTTTGGATCTGCCTGAGAAGGAATTCAGAAGAATTATATGGAGACAAATCCAAATGCTTCACAGAGAGGTGGAGGAAAATAAAGTAGTCAGGAAAGTGCTACAGGAG